GAGCATCTTGGTGGGCACCTGACAGCCAGCCAAGGTCAACCCACCACAGTGCTCAACAAAAAATTTCCATTAAGCTTGTTGCTGTGTTCTCTAACATTTGTATCATGTCTTGATTTTCATTTAGTTTACTGTATTCCCACTGATTTTCTGCCTTCACATCTGCAGAGTCTCTATATCTGCTTTAAAGAAAATAAATTTTGGGCAATGTAATAAACATCTCTTATAGTAGTCCTAGCATTACCACAGTCTAGACAGCTCTTCAAACTCTTGAAAGTACTTTAATATATGGTAATATATTTACCTTATGTTGAAAAATTGATGTCTTTAGGTTGCATCTTATCCCAAGTAAGCCTGCTACGCAATGAATAGTTAATAGGTCACAGAGACAACCTTTTATGTATTGCATAAGTTAACATACAGATTTTGCATGCCAACTTTTGCATATTGCATAAGTTAACATGCAGGCTGCAACATGTATTTACTATTTCTATATGCTTGTGTTTTGCTTCTGCTGTAAAAACTTTACACTGTACTTAGACAATTGACTGTTTAGACAGGTATTTTTTATTACATGAATGGCCTGTGGAAAGAGGAAAGATACTGCAAATGAATGCTGGCTATAAAGAATTTGGTTTTGCTCTGAAAAGCCGGAGCCTCACAGTTTTAGTAAAAAGGATTTGGTGGAATGTGACCTATTTGGTAGGTGTGGGTACAGAAATTGTGCTTGTTTCTTACCCTGCAAAAGATTGTGGTGCCTTTATCCTATAGCATTTTCAACTAAAATGTTCTAACCCCATTAGGGATTTAGAAAGCAAGTACTGTTTTCCTCAGTATTTTCCCTAAATTGCTTGTTTCTATGCATTCAGGAATTTATCAATGTAAAATCGTCTTTTTTTTCTAATACTTTGAAAATAAACAAATAGAAGAATGGTTCCAAATAATCCCTAAGTGATTTGTATAGCGTTTTGTTGTGGGAACTTTTTAACTTTGATCCAGCATTGCCCTATTCCATTAAGCCAAAATGTACTAACATAATTAACATATATCCTTCTTGGACCTACATGCTGCTCTGGGGCTTAAAAAAAGTTTCTTTTGTTTCCTTTTGAATTTTAGTGAAAGACAATCCTCTGCATTCCTAACTTAGCCAGTTTATCCCCTAACACCTTTTAATTCAGACACTTATCAGGCCTCGGTTCATGGCCACTATCTATTAAAAGATAACTGAAGGACATTCCATTCACCCTTGATCCCCAATACTCCTTAAGTGGCCATAAAGCTTGGGAATTAAAGCATGTGTCCATTAGGATTAGTAAAAGGTGTAATAAATACAAGGGGTTTGAAAGAAGCTGTAAAATTGCTTAGAAGTATGGCAAGGCTTCAAAATGAGCGAAGACTGAAATTTTAGTAGTCTTTAGTTCAGGAAGAAGAGACATGACTGAGGTTTCCAGAAGAACAGAAGGTATAAATATGTGCATATTATTGTACACTTTAAAGAAGTGCAAATGAAAAGGACTTTAAAGACAACATATGTAAATCTGTTTCCATCATAGAATGTGCTGAAGCTTTGCAGCTCATTGTGATGAGGTATGACTGATGTCAACAGCTTTGTATAATTATAATGTATACATTTGTCTCACTAATGTATATTCCGTTGCAATAGACATGACAAAAACTAAGATATGAGCTGTCATGTCACTTGGAATGTTGTAACGTATGATGATATGTGGGCAGGTACTGCACTAGACAGGCTTGCTTCTTAAGCTTCCTTTGAAAGTAATTGTTGAAAAAAGACATCACACTGACTTCATACAGCAATTTCTGTGTGTGTACTAACATAACAAGATTTTAAGAGAATTGTGTGGGTACTAATATATCAAGATTTTAAAAGCATTAACACAGTTTGGTTGTGTGAAATTTTGTTTCTCCCTTTCTTGTAGCATTGCTGCATATTCAGTCTTGCGTTCATAACACTGCTTTTTGGCATCAATGTCTACAGGATTAACAAAATAGAATCAGTCTGTCTTTTTAACTTATGCTGAAACAAAATTAATTGGTTAATTGTAGTTACAGATCATCTCCCCAGACAATATTTTTTAACAGCCACTAGACATCAGGAGTTGTTTTTACAAAGTTTTAACAGTTGCAAAACCTGTTGTATCTCTGGGGATGGAGTCATAGGACAAGTCTATTCATTTGTAGACTTTTAATGAAAACATGTCAGTGCTGCCACCTTTTGGACATTTTTTAACTACTTCTTATGGAAAACCAGGATCTGATTAACGAGGACATTGTTCATGAGGGATGTGGGGAAAACGTCAAAGAATTAACTTTGAAAAAACGTCCTGCTGTGGACTTTGCTTGCATTCATCTTAAAAAACGCATTCGTGCTCACAAGCACACAGCTTTCTGAGTGTGTAGGGATCTCCCCACATTAAATGTCATGTACTCTGAAGAACAGTTTGTGACCTGAAATCTTAAACCATATTGCAGTTACCTTTTTCTGTGCTGTTTAAGGAATTTAGTCATGCATTCCTCAGATGGAATTCATTTTGCCTATGGAAACACACAATTTCCATGAGGGCATTTTAGATTTTTTTGTCCTCATTGCATTTAAAGTATTTATCTGGGGGCCTGATTATTCAAAAATACATTTTCTGTCTGGGAGACTGAAAATGAAAAGCGAATGCATCAGTCCAACCAGCAAAAAACCAAAACACTGCGTTATCTGAGTGAACAGAAAAATATCCTTCCAGAGAAATGCTGGAAGGTCAGTTGTATGAATGCCTAAAACTGGAGTGGTTTGATCTTCAGGAAACAAAAATCTGCCTTCCCTTCTTGGGAATTAGATTTGAATTTTTGGTCCTTGTTATAGACAATACACTAATGTTTCTGTCAATGTGTTTGTTTCCTTCCTTCTTCAGTAAACAGCATTTCAGGAGAAAAACTTGGTAGAAAAATCGGTCAGTTCAAACTTTGTAGGTGCCAGAAACAGTTCAGTGAATACCTATCCTGAACAAACTGCTTTGGGGAGTGTATTAATATTCTTCCAGGAAAACACTGTAAGGTTGTTTCCTGTGACAAGGAAACAATACCTCCTTACCCACCAGTAAACCCTTATGTAGTAAGAAGGAATTTGGATCCTGTTGACACACTGGGTCATGGTGGAATGGCAGAAGGGCTTATACTCACCTTCCTCATGTATTAGTGACTACACGGGTGTGGAATTATTAGTAAAATTAAGGTTTATATGAAAAACGTAGCAGTGTTCACCCATTGAGGGAAAGCATGAAATCAAAAGAAGCTCTGAGGATGGGGCACAGCTGCAGCAGGCTTGTGAGGAATCCACTCACACAGCAACTCCCTGCAATGTACCATAGAGGATGGATCGTAGTGGAGACTCCGTGGCCCTGCTCTGTGATGATAAAGTGGGTCATGATAAAAGGTATGTATGACTACAGTCACTCAAACTTCACCTTAAAGATAGAAAAGATATAAAAATCGCCAGGGAAATGGGGGATTTTCGGAGAAGAAGGTAACACCGTGAGCAAGTCAAGGGAAACTCCACCTCAGACTGGCTCCGACAACCGGGATCGGCCGATGGGCTGAGCCTTGCTTCTCCCCACCTTGGGACGCCTTGGGTGAGACTTAAACTAAGCGCTTTTTTTTCTCAGGAATAGTTACTCCCTAATGTTTATAGCCAGGCTGTATTATTTATAACCTTTTCATGCATTTCATATTTGCACGTGCTTTCTTGCAGACAGTCACTATCACCAGCAATTCAAAAAACCTACATACCTGTTGCACAAATAAACTGCACTGCCTAAGTAGCCAGTTGTCACAGTTTCTCACTGAAGGCGACCAAATGTGGCCTTGCCAGTTCATGAGCACGACTGGACTGAAGGTGCAGACTGCTATTAGTGTATCCAGAATCGTGGTGGTTTTAATATACGTATTAAACGTGACTGGACTGGCAGTGGCAAATTGGATATCACTCAGAATTTAAACCTAGCCGCACCTAGCCTCCCACTCTGGTGAAGAGCGTTAGAAAGCAAGGGGGTTTATTTTCTGCCAAATTAACGCGACAACGGGTATGGTGACGTGCTCTCTGCAGTAGTAACAAATCGTTATGGGTTTCATAGAGTTGCAGTCTAGCACAAGTTTAGTTCTGGTGTCTTGCCTATCATCCTGAAATATCAGTACAAAGAGTCCGACCTATTCATAGCTATTGCTGCTACTAGCTGTCATTTTAGCATTTATATATTCACCATAATTTTTTATCTGTCTTTGTAAACATACTTCTTGAAATGGAAACATTATCAAAACTTTGTGTAGTACTTTGACAACAAAATTAGAAAAAAAAATTACAGCAATATAAATAGAAACAAGACAACATTTAATTTAAATAAAAAACTTTATTAACAATGTAAAACGTTTAGTATCTTACAGACTGAGACAATTCTGGCATGCCCTATTAGAGTTAATACGCAGTGATACGCAGACACCATGCTTTGAATTCTATTGGAAACAAAATGGGTTGGTGTTGTGTTTTACACTGTTTATTTTAATACACTTTCTTTTAATAAATTATTTATTCTTTCCAAAAGCTTGTAGAGATACTATCAGCTTAAAAGGAAACCTGTTGCTTCTATGCATTGTACAGTATGTAGATATTATGATTCTCTGTATTTACAAGTATTTTCATATATGGTTTGTGTATCATAAATTAAGATATTTTTCTATGAATTTTTAAATTGAGATATAGTGGAAGACTAAATATGAATGAGAGCACAAAAAGCAACTGGAGATTTTGTGCGAATTTTATTACAATATTGTTTACATGTTTTAGAACTTTAATATTTTTGCTGTTAAACAGTTTTCTATGCTTCAAGACTGTTAGAATATTTTCAAGTATTTTAATATGATACTAATAAGAGTACTGTACTATGCACAAACTTTTATCTGTCATTTCAACAATAAAAAAAACTTTAAAATTATCTATTAACCATAATTCATGTGTCTTTTCTCTGAGTCATTGGAAGTAAGCATGCAAATCATACTTTAAAAACTTTTAAAAACATTCTCAGTTATGCTAGATCTAGTCCACAAATGGTTTTTCACCACCGTAACTTTAAACTATTAAAACTCTTATTTTGAAAAGGGGGATGGAGCAGAGGAGAAAAAGGAATAGGCTAGTGTAGAAAATGTACTTTATAATCAAGAGTAGCAGTGTTCATCTTTTCAATGGTCAAATAACAGTGGTTTAATTAAAGTTATGATTTTCTTGGTACTTCTGTATTTAATCTTCTAACTTGAGACAAGACAACACAGTCCAAAGAATCTTCGCTTCCGTCTTCTTACCAATGGGTATGGAGTCAAGTTTAGGAGGCTGCTGTCATCTGTGATGAAAAAACCCACATTTTAATACAAGCACGTACATTGCACACACACAACAGATTTTATATCATTTATGTGTCCTAACAGCACCTACATGATCAAGTAATAGGTCCCGTTGTTCTAGGCATAGAGCAAATCATAACCCGAATTTTGTATGTAAGCATCTTACAATGATAATTATCAGGATCTCCATGATAATGCAATAGATATTTTGTCAAGAAGAATACCAGTTCAATTCCTAAACCTAAAGGAAATTACCTGTCCAGTACTAGAAGACCTAAACCACAATATTCCTGCATGGATTAATAATGTTAGGGTCCCAAATAAAACATAAAGATAAGTAGCTTGAGATCTTGCAGACATGGAAGTCTGGAAATGTCGATCCTAGGGTTAAATGCTGGCTTTATTTAAACATTAAAACAACCTTTATTGGGTGGCCATTTTTGTCCTGGCTGCCAAGAAGGCCAATGGCATCCTGGAAGGCATTAAGAAGAGTGTGGCCAGCAGGTCGAGGGAGGTTCTCCTTCCCCTCTACTCTGCCCTAGTCAGGCCCCATCTGGAGCACTGTGTCGAGTTCTGGGCTCCCCAGTTCAAGAAAGATGAGGAGCTACTGGAGAGAGTCCAGCGGAGGGCTACGAGGATGGTGAGGGGACTGGAGCATCTCTCCTACGAGGAGAGGCTGAGGGAGCTGGGCTTGTTCAGCCTGAAGAAGAGAAGGCTGAGAGGGGACCTAATATATGCTTACAAATATCTGAAGGGTGGGTGTCAGGAGGATGGGGCCAAGCTCTTTTCAGTGGTGCCCAGTGACAGGACAAGGGGCAATGGGCACAAACTGAAGCAGAGGAAGTTCCGTCTGAACATGAGGAAGAACTTCTTCCCTCTGAGGGTGACGGAGCACTGGAACAGGCTGCCCAGGGAGGTTGTGGAGTCTCCTTCTCCGGAGATATTCAAGACCCACCTGGACAAGGTCCTGTGCAGCCTGCTGTAGGTGACCCTGCTTCGGTAGGAGGGTTGGACTAGATGACCCACAGAGGTCCCTTCCAACCCCTACCATTCTGTGATTCTGTGATTCTGTAATTTCCATTTAAAACTGCAACACTGGAACATCTTGGCACAAGAAGAGAAAAAGCACTTGCCTGGGAAAGTTAGCACAATATGCTTTTCCTGGTTAGCTTTCTACTTTTTATATTAGCTCATTTCAAATTCATACAAAATGTATATATTAGTGCCTATACTTCTGTTAACTCATGCACTATCAGCAAGCTATCTCGCAAAATCTTTAGAGTTCACTTTGAATTTGAGCCATCTTCAGGCATGGTTTCAGGCTAAGAGCTATGCCTCATTATGTTCCTATTCTGGTTACATCAGGGACCTAGTTTTGATTGTAGGCTCAAGACAATACTGTAATATAAATATGTAACTATAAGAACATAGGTAAAAGTTCATTTAATATTGTGACTCCTGCTTATGAACCACAACAACTAAATTTCCCAGCATAGTAACTTTCTTGTCGCTGAAGAAAATTCCATACAAACAAACAGGTCTGTGAGCAGTCAGTAACATCATTTAAATCTTTTGTGGGCTTGCAACCTTAGCTCTGTTCTGGCTGTCACTGAAATCAATGGCAAAACACTCATTTACTGAAAGCAGGATCAGGTCTTGTAAAGATCAACTCATTCAATGGCATTCATTCATCTCATGATAATTCTCTTAAACAGGGCTTGTAATTCATATACATGTCAAAATTACAATCCAAATCATGTTAATTACGTATAATGTTGTTTGTTTGTTCTGTTTACTTATACTGCTATCTAGCTTTTTTTAATTAAAGGTCTTGGAATATTTCAAAAGTTATAAGGAGTAGATGAATAATGAGTATGACTGCCCATTCCTGAGGCATCCATTCTCAGACGTCATCTGTAAACTAGGATCACAGCTGGAGTCTGCAGGAGCCGCAGAAACACCATTTATGATTACCTGACCCTGGGGCATGTCTCAGAGCTTTTAAACTCTCGCTGACATTTTTCCCATCTTGCTGCAGATTTTATCGGTGATTTTCTGTCCAGTGTTGAAGGGCAGTGTAGACATCAGACAGCAGACAAGTATTCTGTATGCCTTTATCTCTGTCCTGAATTCAAGTTTCTATATGCTTTACATCCCCCATATTTGTCTTTTTCTTCTTTATTTCCACCACAGTCCTTTCCTCTAGGCTAGGCATAGACTTTATGGTATTTTCCCAGTCTCCATAATGATATCATAAGCAACTCCCTTTCTCCTTTCACATAATTTTCCATGAAGCCATCCTGCTATAAAATCTTACTTGTATAATGAAGTCATCCATTCTATATTCACATCTCACCGTACTCTGATGAATGCTAGATTACTTTGTTACTTGGGACAAGCTCTAGGACACATTAGGCATACTTCATCACCTGCCACTGTGCAAGGACTACGCAGCGTTTAAGAAACACAAGGAAAATTATGATCTTTTTAATGCTGTTCACATGAAGAAAGAGTCCCTGTAGATGTGGAATATTTGACACTGCTGGGCCCCAAAACGAAGGCCCACTGCTAAATACAAGCACAGGATGGAGATCCTGCCCCCCTGTGCGTTTGTATAGCCAGTGCCTTATAGCTGGCTACTGCGAAAAGCAGGCTGTTAGCAGACTCAAGGCAAGTATCTTTTTTTGCGTAGGGTCATTGTCATGTCATGGAAGCTAGCAGCCTTGTAGGTGAAAAGCAAACCCTTTGATCCATCACTCAGTAGGATCCCTGCCATAGTCTGTGCAATTTACACCTTCATCACATTTGAAAAAGAAAGCCTCCTGACACAGGAAATTAGTTGTGCTACTGCCTACATGTCACCACGAAAGGCCTATTATTTTAGGTATAGATACCATATCTATAAAATTCCACAATACCCCACGTGAAACTCCAGAGCCCAAAGTTAACATACTAAATTATGGCTCCATTGAATCAGTAGGGAAGAGACTTCATCTAGATTTTTCTTTTTGTAACTTCTATAAATAAACCCTAGACTTTTTGGATCTAATGGAAAGCAAAACCTTTAATTATCTTAATTTTCCTACATGAAGAAAACACAAAACCTACCTTGATTTTTCAGTGGTAAAGGCATAGTCTCCCTGAGTTTACTTAAAAGGTTTTTCATTTCTCTCATATCTCTGTGGAAACAAAAGTTGAGAGACATACAATAGAACAGCAGTTGAAGACTGACTGGGGAATGGCTCACAGTGCAGCTTTACAAGCTGAAGTAATGGAGCAATAAATACAAAAATCTGCTGGGCAAGCATTTGGTCCACATACATGTATCAGAAGATGAATACCAAAATAAAGGGCAGCAGATTTAATAAGGGAGTACTTTTCAGCCACTCTGCTATTAACTAGTCACATCTGGTCCAAATTTATGATCTATTCCGGCACTTGAGTATTCCGTATTAAATGAGCTGGTGGGCACAATGTGATCCAAGTGGCAAAACAAACAATATGCCTTAAAATTAGCACAAATTAGTACTAATGTCAACTTAATACCCCTTATCAGCACTTTGTAGCTTGTGCCATGAATGCGTTTCATGGTTCAGAAGGAAATTATACAACATGTAGCTAATCCATGACATGAAAGCTCCCTGCACATGAAGTGAAAATTTTAGAAACAGAGCTGTCACTCTCACCCCTTTTAGGAGGACTCTGGCACGAAATTTTCTAAAAGGCAGAAGATGGAAAATATGGTAACAAAATACCAACTTCTCAAAGTGAGTTCCATTTGGATATGTTTTGAGAGAGGCCAGAAGTTGCAAAAAGATTCCCGTTTTACAGACAGATGACAGAGAAGCAATTTCATGTGCAGCTTGTAATGTCTTAAGGCCTTTAGGATTTGAAAACAACGTGGTCTTGCCTCATTCATTTACATATAAAATAGTTCTTAGAAATTAAGCAGCATGACTAATAAGAAATTGCTAAGTTTTTTTCTCCAAGTTACTCTGTCAGTAGAACAGAAATGCATTTTAGATAACTAAACATGGTAACCTTTACCATCTCAGCAGCAGCTTAATATACAAAGCCATCAAAACAGGTATTTTTTGCAAAGACATGCTGGCCGTAAGGCTTACTGCCTACTGAAGGGTCTCATTTTTGTCTTTCAACTGCACAGTTAGATGGTAAGATAAGTCCACTTGGACAGACCTGTGGCTGATGTTCCCCTCCCCTCCTACGGCTTCCACATTCATAACTATGGGCAGAAACAACTGATGTGAATGAGATTCTGTGGTTTCGATTTATGAATGCAGAACCAGAGGCCAGCGGATTTCAGATACAAAACCAGAAACCACTCATGATGAGACAAAAGCTGCATCTTTTAGAGAACTTGGCCCACTAGCAACATCATTTCCTACTCTTTGTCTTTGACAATTACCCTCTGGTAATTAGCCTAATTAAGGACATAATTTCTCTCTGCCCTTCTTTTAGGAGTTGCTCTCAGATACGTTAAATGTAACAGAAATGTTAACAGGTTATTTAATTTACTAATTCTTTTAACTGCAGCAACACTGGCTGCCTAATTGGAAAAGACTAAATAGACCCTGGACAGAAACATTTTTGTTTAGGAATGAAGTGCTACACATACCTTTCAGTGTTTTCAATATCTGTGGAAACGTGCCATAGATGCTGTTGAATATCTTTTGGTGATGCCGATGTGTCTTCTAAAATAGGTACTTCGGAACTCTCCTCCACTTTAGTATCTATGCTCTTGGGTGGGGCACAAGGTTCTTTTCCTTTAAAATATTTAAACAAAACATATATCCCCATTATATATTAATTCAAATGTCTACTCAGATTATATCATTGATGTTTGGACCTTGATCTTGCACAGTATAAGTGAGCAGTGAATGCAAACTCTGTGTATGAACTGTTCAGAAAGAGAGCAGACCACACCAATCTGCTAAACAGAGTGCTGCTATATGCTACTCTTACCAAACAAAACTAAGAGAAGTCCCATGCAGGCACGTGTCGGGTGTAGGATTTTACACAGTGAGTATTAGGAAGGGTTTCAGTTCAACTCCGCTGGTTCACATGTGACACAAAATAAGAGCCAGAAGGCAAAAGAGAGCAAAATAAGTTGGGAAACTACAGCACACATTCTGAAATCAACTTCAGAAACTTTGACAATAAAGAATATCGCAATCTGTATCTCCTTGTGTTGCAGCAGTACTAAGGGAAAATGAAAGACAAAAATGTGCAGTTTTGTACTTGGTGATTTTAAAGCTATCAATAGCTGCCACCACTCACAGCCCACTACACATTATATTCTGAATTTCCACGCTTACACTTGCCTAATTCATGCTCACTGTATGAAAATGAAATGCTGTGCTGGAGTTCAATGGGGGCTTCATGACAGATCTTCCAGGGCTTTTGTCAGGGACAGAATGGGATAAAGGATGTGGACCACGATGGTGGAGCATGCAAGAAAGTTAAGTACTGGTGGGAGTGTTTTTGGCATCCTTGCAAAATTTCTGTGGACTGTCTGATAGTATTCCTTTTCTGTAGTGGCAAGTACAGTCCCGGCACCAAGTGCATTTAAATGAGAAAATTCAAATTGGAGTGCATCTCAGACACATTATTAAGATGTTACAGTTTTCCCCTCTCTGAGTTCTCTCATAAAAGGGAATAAACAATCTAAGAAAGAAATAAAACTTTCTAAAAACAGAGGAAAAATTTAAATGTTTAAACCAGTGGTATGAGTAATTGAGTAGGAAATGTTTTTGCATCTTACAGTTTTTGCAATTTGAAAATTTTTCACATCATGACAAACCTTAGTAGTTCCTATAAGGTTTGACAGACAACAGGAGGAACAGGAAAAACAGAATAGAGGTCATTTAGCCCATTTTTCTGGGACACTACACAGTAAGGTTGCAGACCATGCTATATTGCTCTTCCACATCACACATAAGTATCCCTGCTGTCAGGCTTGTAATATGGATTTTTTTTTAAACTAGGAATTCCTGGATCTTAAAAAGCTCTTTTAGGGCAGGTTCTCTAAACTGTTGTATTCTGGAAAATCACTCCTTTCCTGAAAAAAGGAAAGCTACTTGTCTGAAATGTCAAACTGGATATTACTTCTACTACAGAAGATACATGATTAATGTTTTCATTGCTCGCTAAAGTCATCAGGAAACTCTTTTCACTGCTTACCCCCAGTTAAGTCATTTAACTATGACTCCAAGGGATTGCATGATCTGACATTACAAGTTTATCATCTATAAAAGAATCATGTTCTATGTCTGTTCTTTGCTGCTTACTTTTGTGTCCATTGCTAACTTGTGCATTGCCAGATCTCTGTGTGAGCCACTTCAACCCATTAAATGGTAGAAGATTATCCCAGTAAAAGCAAAAATAAAATGTGAAATTTTCTGATGTTGCAGGGATTTAAGTCAGGTCAGTAAAGAACCCTATGTGTTCCAGAGCAAGTGCCAGAGGAGGAGGATGATCATATGGCCAGAAGCAGTGGAAGGGAGGAAGAAGTGAAGGCATGGTAACAGAGGAGACAGAGAGGATGGGATCAAGATCCTTCTGGTGGTAACAAGCTATTACGCTGGCTCAATTGCTTGTAGAACAGCAGCCTAAGCCTACTCCCCAGATTATATGTTTTACTCTGTGTCACCATGTAAGTATAACTTTAATATTTTTCTAGTTCTTAACTGCAGGTTATGCTGTTATTTTAAGGTAGAGTATGCTGTTATTTTAAGGTTATTTTAAGGTACAATTTTAATTGTTCGTTTGTGTAAGCTTTATTACTTGTTATTTTTCCCATTGTAAGAAGCCCATAACACACATAGTGTTATTAATATCTCACTTTCCACTTCTTTGTAAAAGAGGGTTACCGCAGGGAAACCATCTAATTTGCCAGTGATATCAAAAGGTGTTACTGCTGCAACTGGGTATTAGTTAATTTTCCCCTTATTTTGAAGTGTTATGTTGGAAATCCGACCTGACCTTCGGTGACATGCTGTTAAGAACAACCCTGCCTATAGATGCATCCTTCAGGGATGTGAAAGGTGTTTCAATGGAAACAATAACAATACTAGCTGAAATAACAGAAAAGGTTCTTTTTCACAACTTGAGAACAGAAGCACTGAGACTGTAACATTGTTTTTGTTAGCACAAAGGCAAGCTCTTGCAGATTTAGCAGAATGAACATCACAGATTTCTTTTCAACTGAAAAAAGATCTTTACCAGTAATTCTGTTGTATTGTGAACAATTCATGAAGCCTCTCTTGAATTTCAGAGCATCTGCTCGGTCACTTGAAAACAGTTAAGAGTCAGCAAATAATAAAGGCTTTGCGTGAATAACGCATATGATTCAGGCTGAACATCTCTGCTACATGGCACAGCCTGTAGAGAAACAAAAGCTCTTTAATCTTCTCATCCTTCTTCTGGCAGTAAGGATATCTTTTGTATTACAATTCTTAAAATAGGGATATGAACCCTGAATATTACTTTCAATTTAGACAGTGGAAAGACTTTCATTAATTTCAGTTGAAGGCTGATCATGCACATCGTGTTTTCAGAGGTGTCTACATACACTTGCTCTTCTTGCCAGTTGACAAGACAGAGGGCCTTTTACTGTGAAATTTTAATATAAAGTGGGATGTATTCTTTGTATTCTACCCTCTAATTCAGCTTTTTTGCCTTTTTTTTTTTTTTTTTACTTCAAGAAGCAGAAAATGCCATTGGTGTGAAAATAAATTCATCAAATTAAATAATGCTGAAGACCAAACTTGAGTGAGGATAAATAAGAGGGTAGAAAATTATCAGTTCAGTAAGGCTACATAAAACACCTGCAATCACTCTGCTTTAAGTGTCTTACCAGTTGTGCTCCTTACTGCTTCTGTGGTGACCTCTGTGTTTGCTTCTGTCATTCTACCCTATGTACCTACTCATAGTCACACCTACCTCCCAGAGAAACTTACATAATGAAAAAAACATCTATTATAGGTTCCTCATAGCTAATTAGATTTCACTGCAGATGAACTGGAAAGATCTTTGAAGGGAATAACACAATTTAACAAGGCTGAGAGAACCCCTCTCTCAAAAAGAAGGCAGCATCTGCATCAGGCATCTAACCTGGCAAGTAAGGATAAATGCACAAGCTACAGATCACAGCTAAAGTAAATGAAAAGGAGAACATAAAAAGGGGAATAGCAAAGAATCATGTAGGAAGTAAAAAAGAAATGTGGCAAATGTAGCTAACAGCCTGATGAACTTCATTTCTGACTTACACCTGGGACCTGCAGGACTCAAGAGACTGTCTCACTGGAAATATTATCACTAAGGAAAATGCAATAGGAACAACAAGTCTGTGGTAGAAGTTGTGTTTTCCTCCTTCCATGCCTGTTTCTGTTCTATTCATTTTGGCCTCTTCACAGTGTCCACATGAGAATGGGTGATTCTCTGGATTTTGTAAGTGCTTGCTTTGCCACACCTGTGTGCTTCGCTTCTCTCTCACACCTTATACCTCTCGTGTAAGTGATATGTCTAAGTAATTACACAAATCTACCAGTCTTAAATAGAATGTTGAGATTGTAGCACATCTGTTAAACGATCCTTGCTTTCTCCTTCAAAAGTCTAAATAGTATGTAATTTAAACAAGGCCAAATAAAATAAAAATCCTTTCACTGAATTGAGGGTTTATTTTTTTAATTTGTGATATAAATTATCACAGGTTATTAGGTACTATTTTAAGGAAGTATATGTTGTTATCACAAAACACTGGAAGAACAATTATGCTATGAACTTCTTGTATGGTACATGATACACAGTTACCTGTGATTTGATACCATTCTGATGTACCAACAATGCAGGAATGAGTTCAGTCTGAATTTACACCACAAAAGCCTCATATTTTCTGTCCACAGTATGCCCACCTGATTTTCCCATAAGACTCAACTCTTCCCTTTTCTACCTAAGTATTCATCTACCTACCACTCTGGTTAGTGCTGGTATCCTTCTGCCCTCAGCTATGTTCACACAAGTCAGAAGGGGCCCACACATCTCAATTACAATGACTGAGCTGTAACTTTTGCTTCAGGGCTTCCAAATAGGCTTGTGGTAAGGATAAACAAAATGTAGGTTATAAGCACTAATGTATTTTGCATCTTATTCTGAGAAAATACTCATGTATAAACACAAGGTTTAGAAAAAAAGACACAGGAAGAAATAAGACTTTGTGGCAATTTCATACAAAAAACTGTAAGATTCTGGGAATCTAATATATACTGGATTCATTTTTTCCCATAGATATTAAAATTCTATGGAAATGATTAGAGCTATGTGTAAATTGTGTGTTCACTTCTATTTAAACAAGTTACAAACAATATAGCAGGTTCTGCTGATTCTGGACAATAAGAATAATATATTCTTATAATTATACATGAGCAGTGACTTATTTTGTTCAAACTCAGCATAAATGGCTATCAGTTTTAAACCCTGCAATTCTTTGACAAGGTAGCTTTAGCTATTTTTACAGCATATTTTGAACTCTGGAAAACAACTCCAGTTAATTTTAACTGCCGTCTCTTGCTTTTGATTTGTTACATGTGTTTAGTCCCTTAATTATTAAAGTAAATGCCTTGCTCAAATGCTCTGTAGCTAGCTGATAGAACGATGGTAATCTGAAATTCAGGATTTAAAAAAGTATTTTCTAGTATATGTAATTATTCCTTACAATGAAAGGGATTTATTATTTATATATGAGTCAGCAAAGCTTTTTTATCTGTTATGTTTACACATTAAAAATGCAGTGAAGTTCTTTATAAGGTATCAGTGAAAACCTTTGACCTCAAAATATTTGTGGCTGAATACAGGAATGTATACTGAAGTGTATTTAAGAACTCTGAGGTAGTTCTGGATTTTCTCAATGTTGGACCTTAACAACCTCACCCTTGGAAAAAGGGTAGTCATATCCAGCAGCTCCCATGGACAGAAACTATGTCAACTACTTCTTCTAAGATCTTGTTAGCTAAGACAGGATTTGTTTATTTAATCAAAAGAATAGTCATTTTTGGGAACATGCAATGTCAGTAAAGCAGACATGCAACATTTAAAGGAATTAGAGCTGAACTTTGTAAACACTTCAGAGACGTACCTAAGCTCCTTCAGAATAACTCACTTTCCATGAAACTCTAACTCAAATTTTAAAAAGTGTTACAAGGTTTAAGAACTATGTTTGACACTGCTCCCTAAGGCACAATGCTCTATTCAAATGTTGGAGGGGAACAAATAAAGCACAACCAAGGGGAGGAGAGAAGCTGCAGGTCCTAGGTAAATGAGCTCATCTGTTGCTTGACAAAGTCTGAGAAAGGTGACTCTAGGAGAGAAGCTGCAGGTCCTAGGTAAATGAGCTCATCTGTTGCTTGACAAAGTCTGAGAAAGGTGACTCTACCCAGAGAAGTTCGGCCAGAGTGTGATAATGATGCAGAAGAAAGCTTGGTGAACAAATGCAGTGAGAAGTTTCAGAAGGTTTCCTGGAACAGCTGGAACATTAGCTGCCATCTGCCATATCTGTCCCAACAGACTTGCTATAGTCACAGCCAAATGGTATTTGCTATGACAAAATGGACAGCAAGATCCTTAAAGCCATCATGTTAGGAACTGCAGGAAGACAAAGGAGAGTTTCTCACAGTGCTGCCCTGAAAACCGGACCCTATATCTACCCAAATTTTTCATGTGATCCTACCCAAGTTGCTTAAACCCAGCTCCTCAAAACAGTTATTGACAAAATATTTCTAATTGCCTGGTTGCTCAACCCAGAGACTCTGCACTCAGCTGCAAATGAAACCACTGAAAAATTACTCTACAAACACACACAGCACTGCATAAAGTATGCTGCAATCCCAGATTCTAAATTAGCAATCTTCAACTTAATCTCTCATTGTTCCTTGTTTACACAGGGAAAAATTGCTACTACCTTACTACTCAAGGCAGCTCTGAAGACACTCCCATCAGTGTATGAGTTACTGAAAAAGGTCTGAGGAATGGAAGGATTCTGCATTTAGAACAGAATTGTGTGCAATAAACACAATGTACGACACTGAACAACGGTGATAAAAGACAGATGTATGCCTGAGTAAACATTTACATGTGTATGTTTGGCAGGACTCTTGGGACTGTGGAAAGGAGGAGGAATAAAAGATAAGATCAGGTAACAAAAGACTTAGTAACTACAAAAGGCTTGAATTAAGACTACTTGGGCATATTTCATTGTGTCCTTTGCAAACTTTCTGAATGTTGAACTTTGCAATCATAATGTATTTTCAGCACTGGGCTTTTGTGGTGTATGTATCTCACAAAAAAAATTATTAGAGAGCACTTACCTCAGTTTACTTACTGCATAACACAGCTGGAAATATTTATGGCTCTTGGCCCCACTATGACTCTTACTTCTCAAAGAAATAACAGACTACCTGTCTTTTCTAGCAGAGGTTGTATGACAATAGTAAGTTAATCTAAAGCACTGTAAATATGCAAGAAATTTCAGTACAGGAAGCTTGATATATACTATACAGTACATATAGGAATGTTTGTTCAGTAAGGAGAGATAGAAGATCAGTGCTGCGAAAGACAGTTAAAATACCCAGAGCTCAGCCCTTCAAGTTGTAGTGTGGTGTTTCATTACAGGGCATCTGTTTCCCAGTAGGGAGCACTGGCTGAGTTTCTCTTGGGAAAAGAGCATCAGCACTGCCTTAGCTTTGTCAGTTCTATAAGTTGTCTGATAACATACAGTCAAGATACCAGTACCCACATTACTATTTATTAGCTGCAGGTTGCTGAGAACAGGCTGCATGTTGTTCTACTTGAACCTCTCCTGGCTCCCAAGTAAGAACAAAAAGTGGTGAGATCTCGTGGGAGAGTTAAAAACCTATCAAACCACTTATCCAACAGTTAAGAGGACTAGATAATGGAAAACATAACATCCAAATGGAAAATATAATCTTCAAAAAATGAGCTTCAAGAGACAGCAAGAACATCAGACATGCACATTTATGAATTAAGCAAAGTTTCTAAGGGTAGCACTCTTTATACACAATGAAAATGTTCTTTTTTTTTAATACAGTCACTTAGATGGTGAAAAACTGGTGAAAAACCAGACAGGTGAAAAAGCAAAAAAGCTATATACTAGCTACAGCACAATATATTTTATAATGGTGAAATTACCAGCTCTTTTCATTCCCAGGGATAGATTTATGCACTTTTTCTACACTGCAGTACTGTTCTCCATAAGTAAAGAAATTAAAGAAAGGTATAGGTTCATTCTACTTCTTGGAAAATAGTATATTTTGGCAGAACACAGAATAAATAGGTTGCAAGGTCATCTAGTCTAACACCCTACTGAAAGGAAGGCCAACTTACATCAGATTGCTCAGGGCTATTCAAGTCATCGATACCTCCAAGGAGGGAGATTTCATAGCCTCTTTGGGTGCCTGTTCTAGTATATGACTACCTTCACTGTGAAAAATATACTTACCATGTAACTGGAATTTCCCTTATTGCATGATGCTTTTACAATACTTCTAAGTGTTGTGAATACCAAGTATTTGATATACAACAGCAATGTTCTATTGGCTAAGTTCCAAAATTCAAATTATTCAGATCCCCATGATTATATAATTTTTTGCCTATTAGGAATTTTTCTCAAAGAATGGACTTGGAGCCAAATTACTGTGGTTATCTCTATATAGATACAGGACAAAAATTACTCGATTTAGCAACAGCAGAACAGCTACCATGATTTTCTCTATGGTGAGACAAGGAACCAAGGTATATCAAAAGTACTAGCAGATAGGAACTAAGCTGGCCCACACTATAATGCTGTAACTCATCTTATCCAACTTTAATAGTTTGATACTGAGTTTAAGTTATTAATGTAGATTCTATTCAGAGACAAAAGGGAGAGACAAGACATATCAGGGTTACTCAGGTCACCTCAAGCTACTTTCCTTCTGCAGTTACAGAACGTGGTTTGACAGCTGTAGCCAATGCTAGGAAATGTAGTACAATCTATTTTAAAAAATCATGATTCATTTTAGCTGCTACTGGCATCTTGTTATATGATGGCTCTGTTATTTCTGTCGCTTCCTATTTTATAGATTTCGAGTTGAGAAAATCACTGAGAAGATCAATTGAACATTTATAAACCTCTAATTCTTACTTTCATAATAAAAATATCACTGCTTCAGCTGTATCCTATAGCTATATGTGAAAAGTACATTGTGGGGTCTTTCATGATAGGAAATACATAAGGTAAATTACGGGACTTTCATTACAGTTCATTACAGAACTTTGTCTTGTCTTTACCTAGCATATTCTGCTGAGATATCATCCCAGGAAAGAGTACTTACAATTAGCACAGATACAGTCCTAATCAGTGTGTGCCATCACCGAGTAATGAGGTTCCTAAGTAACCTATTCAGTGAATTATCTGCATTTCTATACCTTCCTTTCAGTAGGTGGCTAATCAAATATGAATTCATTAGAGACATACATCTTAACTGAAGCAAGCACACCTCCTTTGTGTGTAAAAATACTCAATGAGGCAGATTTCAGTTGTGAACCTAGTATCTGGTTTTATAAAGGTGGGCATCTTTTTAACCATATTTATCTGTCTTTTGCTATAAGCTAACACTGCTGGACAAACAACAAGGATAGTAAACGATCAGTTTAGTACTAAAACCGTGCCATATTGCTCCACCAAATACTTGCCCTCAAATATCATACCCAACAAATACCTCTAACAAAATGACTAAGATAGTTTGCTCACTAATCTTATTAATGACAGCTAAAACTTTTGGGACCACTGTTTTAAAAGATTTCAGGCTTCTAAACTACATAGATATTAGTGATACATGGCGGGTATGACACACTTCTGTAAAACTATGATAATGAAATAGAAATACAGCTTTTTTTTTCAGTAGCTGAAAAGCTTCAGTGATAGTTAATTTTACAGTTTTGTGCTTTGTCTTCCATGAACACCCATGCATGCCCCAACAGACTGTTCTTTTTTTCAAATCAGCATCTATATATTTGTGCAATTCAATACCTTTCCGATGAAACTGCAGTGATCCTAGCAGACATATGGACTTCAGCATTTCTGTTGTGTACATTTCTAAGCAACACTGCAACTGGATGTATAGTCTACAGATTTCAGGATGAATTTCACCATCTTCTGGGCTGCAGTAAAAGGAAAAATTTTAGTTAGGAATGGGACTGGAAGGACATGAGGGTCACAAAATCCACTTCCCTACTACTGAAAGCAAGAATGTCATAATCTGCTTCATAAACTATTAAGCTACGTGTATATTATAAAAAATCTGTTTCTACCAAACTATACAAGCAATTCTTTAGCTCTATAAAGATCTAGCTTAAACCAGCTAAACTTGGGTTGTCTTTGGTAAGATTGAGTGTCCTTATTTTCTCCTCTCGATACTTTTGGAAAAGGGGTAAATAAGTGACTGAGATCTCTTCTCCTCTTTAAAAGCTTCGGATAAGTATTTTCTGGTAGACTGAAGAGTTCTTTTGCCATCCAGTTTCAGTCACCATTGGTGGTGATGCAGACGCAGGAGATTGCAGGGTCATTTTCACAGTCACTGTTCAGGTTACAAATCCTGGATCAGGCATAATCAACCCTACTTTCAGACATTCTCATCAGAAACAAGTCAGTTGTAGTCTTTTGGTTCTATAGTTTCTGCCTGAATTTCTTACCCCCCCTGTTTTCAAATTAGTAGTCATGTGATACTGCACTGTGAGGAGAATGGGATGTTCAAGAATTTTTTCAGAAAAGTAGTAACAATCTTTGAAGTCAAGAGTAATCCTACAACTCCAATTAATTGCTTAGGACACTAAGAAAATAATTTACCCAGATCCAAGTACCAATTCTCATGCCTGGCTGTAAAATCAGACATTAAACCTCACTTTTGTAGGCTGAGAATGGTGCACAGGTGTAAACATACTTTTTAATAAACTTAACTGTTTCTGTGAGTGCTAATGAAGTGACTTACCCACTCATACCTGAGAATTAGGTTTCCCATGCTCCTTCCAAAGATACTTTCAACAGGGCAGTAAGTGGTAAGATTGAAGAGTTAAGATTTCAGCCATTTCATGTTCAGACATTCTTGCAATTGGTTTGCTACGTAGTGATGTTAAATGGTAAGACAGATAACCCCCGAACTGGATTTTATAACACCTAGAGGAACCTGCTTTTCTAAATAATGGCAGTTCTGAATAGTGCTGTTGAGAAGTGAAAAAAAAAATCCAGCATCCTTTCAGATTTCTAGCTTATGAATAATATAAATGAAGCTTTCACAATAAAAAGTTTGCTAGCATTCCTTACAGTGACTGAATTTCCCGTGGTTAAACTAATGCTTCAGAATAGCCTCCTGTATAGAAAATAAAATTAGACTTGTGGATTTCCTCACGGGAACCAAAGCAACTTACCTGACAAATTATTTGCAGCAACAGTAGGTTGGGCTGCTACGGTCAAACAATTTCTTAGCATCAAAGGCTTTGAGACTTACACCAGACAATGCTTATTTAAACTAGTAAAAGAGATTCTTTCTGTGCTGAGGCAGGAGATCATTATTTACACCTAGATCCAAGGTCCCAGTCAAAATATTAAGTCCAGTTCTTTTGTCAAGAACAAAGCTGAAAAACTCTATTTTAAGAAAAATCATACCAGTTCGTGCTGATACAATCTTATTCAAGTTCAGCTCAAATGAATGCTGCATATTAAAACCTGCTAATTCTTGTATTTGAGATTCACCATTATCTCTAAAAAAGGAGACCATACACTGTCTAGAAAGTGTGCACGTTCTGCAACTGATTTCAGTGACACCAAGGAAAAGAATATACCTGGACATATCCTGGGGTAAGAAAATAGGGCTAGTACAAGGCAGGCCATGATGCCTGTGGCTCAGTGGGCAAAAGAAAGGAGCAATGTCAAAGGAATATCTGATGCAATGACTTGCCATAATCTGCCTCAAATGAGGAAGAAACTGTGTGGTTTTCCAAGGTCCTCAAGGGTTCTTGTCCCTCCAAATGACATCAGAAACCAAATAGGACCATGAAGGTTTCACAGAATTGGCAAGAACCTTCCTAAAAGAGCAACCTTAGCCATTCCACAGCACACGAAGGAAGACTACTAATGTTTGTACATTCTAATGAAAACTGGTAAGAATCGCAGCAGTTGTAAGCTGTAGCATCAAGAATGCTTAAAACAAGTAAAAAGTGCATCCAAAAAAGAAAAAAAAAAAAAAGACATGACAGGAAAAGAATGAAGATTTGAAAAGAAATCATGCTTGGCTTAGTCAGAAGAGACAAAGGAAGATCGGTCCTATCTGCCAGCCCAGTACAAAGTAAACCTCATCAAAAAGGCAGGAAATGACTGGAAGTACAAATTACAATTGCTGTGGCCTGTGGTACTTCAGGAGAAATAACATACACATGATAATAAACCTGCCCACCCTAGGAGCTTTATTTCTTTTGGCTAGATTACATTGTGTGCATTTTTCTTCAGCCACACCTACCTTTCTACTTTTAAAATGAAGTCTGTGTTTGCTGAAAAATTATACCATGCATGATATGGTATTTCCTGCATCTTATCATAAATGTAGAATAAAGCTAAGGTCGCAGAACAAGAAGAGTGCATCCCCAGTACTCTGAAGATGTCTTTTCAGATGCTTCTTATAATATTTCTTCCTATTCTCAGTGGTTCCAACTTGCAAAACATTTGATAGCCTCATGACCCTGAATAATTTTCCGGAAAAATTAGCGACCTGACAGAATGTTTTTGTTTATTCAGAGTCAAGTCCTTAACTGCATATGAAAACACATATTTCCTAGAAATGGATCCACGCTGAAATCTCACATTCTTTTTAAAGGATGGGAACATAAACATTTTTAGTGACTGCATAAGCAGTAGTATCACAAAATAAGAAATGCTAGTTCTGAAATGCTGAAAATTATGCTTAGAAGACACACAGCTTTACAACACACATACATGAACACAAATTTATTTTGGTATAAACCAAATTCACTTTTAATTGCACTTAGTTGCAGACTCCTCAGACACACAGAAGTTCTACTTTGTGCATTACAGTATATTATACTTTTTTGCCTTGCATTAAGTATCCAGAACTTTTTGTCTTGTGTTAATCCATAGTATCTAGTCCTGGTTTAACAATAGTTAAATCTTCACATTCTCTGCAGTTGTGTCTGCTGTTTCTTTCATTTTTAACCAATCTATTTGTTATAAGATTTGCAGCTGTTAGATCTGTGATCACTTTGCTGATTAGAAATGGACTGCTCTCTCTGCATAAAAAATAACCATAAATTTAACAACATTTCTTTTAAAATTGGCAGATGGCAAGAAAGGTTTTTAATGTAATCATATTGGTATTAACCAAAGAAGATAAAACACATTTAGCACACATACAAATTCAGTTTGTTTTAGTATAAACCAGGAGCAGTTCTTCAGAAGTAGACTGTTATTTCTAAATCACACCAGCATTTTCAAGATCAGCATCTAGTCTTTCACCTTGCATATACTGCTCCTAATGACTTCAACATTTTCTGTAAAAGAGTTACTACAAAATTGGACAAATCTTAGAGCAGAATAGTATTCTAATGTTTGGTGTAAGAGGCAGTCTCAAGAGTAAACCTTGCAGAATACATCTAACTAAATACAGGTCTTATATACCTGTTTTTACTTCTCCGATAGCTAAATTTAAGAACTGTGTGATATGTATGTAAATGATACATCCCTCTTGGAGGCTTACTATCCTGATTTGTCCTAACTTCTAGATTACAGATGACATTTTTTTACACCCTTTAGTGTCACATATTCTCATGAGTGCATTGAACACTATTCCCAAGTTCAGCACCATGGAATTACTGCAGTATATGGAGATACAGCTTCCCCCCCACCCCACTGTCTGCATCATTTACTGTTGTAGCTCATTTCCACATGAGCACAGAGTCATTTCTTTTGAGCTACGCTTACCAATACAGGCATTACAAAATGCTTTAGGAGTGTAGAATTCCATTTACTTTCCATATTTAGCAGCCAGGTCCAAAATTTAACTCTTTGAAATTATTGCTTAATTCATGTAATATTTAAGTCCTGGAGCCCCACTAACATACGCACTACCACATTCAGTTTCTGCTTGAATTTCCTAGATGTCTGAAGTTTTCTTTCTGAGCAGGGTTTCATCTGTCCTGAAGATGAACATTTACACAAGTAATAATGAATAAATGAGTCTTTGATTTGCCTATTCCACCTGCAGAGCATTGCCCCATAAATGTTCATGTGCAAGGTGGAACCTGCAAAAAACAAAGCCACCACAGATGGTAATGATGACCTTTTACTGCAAGGTGATGAGAGCTCTTTCTGATAGGGAGATACAGATCGACTCCACTCTCTTATGCAAGTAAATCTGAATCTGTCTAGCTCTTCTGAAAGCTAGGATTCTTTAACCACAAGTCTATTGCTAAGAGGAATATGGAAACTTACATCATGAGAAGATAATTTCCCTGTAGCAGATTTAGATAAAACTGGATTATGGTTGCCTGTTTTTCTCTGCATTGTTTCAAATGCTAGAAATCCTTAGATTTTTTAGAAATTATGGCCATTACAGGAACTTTAAATACAATGTTGAATATATTTCTTCCTTTCTAGCTCACTGGGAAAAAGATCGAGGGTCTGCACACAGGTGTAAGAACACAGTATCTTATACAGCTATTTAATTGCTAAGAAGCAAAAATGGTTTAAAACTTTCTTTAAAAGTTTTTTGGTCTTACTGGCAGAATTTTTAACTGTGCAGACTAAGAAAGCAGCAATTATGTACAAGATGACTGGCTTATAAGCCAATTTGAATTTATCAGTGGTTTTCTATTAACAAGTGAGCTGGAAGAGTAATTGGAAAGCACAGTAATAGGTATTTTAATTGCCTTTTTTGCTGTTGTAAATCTAATATATTTTTCTTGTAAACTTGTTATGAATAGCATGAGAATAAGAGCTAGAAACAGCTATGATACATACATGTTCTGACCGACTCTTGTTTTTTCAAGAATATGGAGCATCTGAAATTGGACTGCAGGCAAAATACTTCTCTCATTATAAATCCAGAGTGAAAGCAGTGACATCTAAGAAAAGTATTTTAAATTATCTAAACTAT